TAACCATCAGGAGAGGCTTTCTTCAAGGTTTCTTCCAAAGACTCTACTGTCTTGTAGTTAAAGACAACATCAAATCCAAGCTTTTGAAGGTAGGCAACCTTTTTATCAGACCCTGCTGCTGCAACAACTTTGCAGCCCTAAATAGAAAAAAACAAAAAAAAGAAAAACAAAAAAGGAAACCATGAGTAAGTCAGAAGCACGGACCATGGACCAACACTACTTTCCTGGTCCAGCACGCCTAGGCTCCCTAAGAACACTCTGTTAGGTGCTGAGCCACATATATAAGGAATACCATAATGGGCCAAAAGATCCCATAGGTGAAATTCGGCCCTGGACCATCCTACAACTCAGCTTCAGCTTGCTTCTGACCACCCAGCAGGTCTCTTCTGCATTTATTTGGTTCATAGCTCCACCAGCTGGTTTAACAACCGATCCATTTGACTTCCTTGGTTCTTGGTTTCTGGGCTTCTCTTCCTGCAATGCAGTGTATGCCATCTCTTGGTACGGTCCTTCTTCAGACTATTATTTTGTCTCAGCTCTGTGACTCTCACATCACAAACGGTCCTCCTGATAACTGCCCCCTTATCGTTTCTTGATTTTTTAGATGTTTATATTTTTTTGAGACATGGTCTCACTCTGTTGCCCGGGCTGGAGTGTAGCGACACAAACATGGCTCACTACAACCTTGACCTCTTAAGCTCAAGTGATCCTCCCACCTCAGCCTCCTGAGTAGCTGGGACCACAGGTGCATGTCACTACATCTGGCTTATATTTTTTAAATTTTCATAGAGACAGGGTCTCACTATATTGCCCAGGCTGATCTTGAACTCCTGGGCTCAAGTGATCCTCCTGTCTTGGCCTCCTAAAGTTCTGGGATTACAGGCATGAGCCACTGCACCAGGCCCTTCGATTTAGTCCAAAGCACCAGACTAGATGCTTCCTAATCACAGAGCAGCTAGGAAGCATTCTGAAAAGCACTTTCACGATGAGACTATAGATTATATTGGCTCATAGAAACTTCCTTTTCAGAAAGTTCCTTATACTCTGAATGTATCATGAAGACCAGAATATGTGCCACTGTGCAATTTCAATCGAGGAAAAACCCCAATTGGATTTACATGAATCTCTGTACAAATAGTGACAGCCATATGCTTTTTCCATTCCTTCATGATTCCAGAAAAAACTATTGGAAGAGAGCCATCCTTGGTCCTTTTTCCTTCTAAGACTATGGACTATCATAGGATGATCTCTTGTACTCTTATGACCTCTATTAATTCTATCTATTAATTCTAACCCATTTTTCTTTTTTCTTTTTTTTGAGACAGAGTCTCACTCTGTCACCCAGGCTGGAGTGCAGTGGCCAGATCTCAGCTCACTGCAAGCTCCCCTTCCCGGGTTTACCCCATTCTCCTGCCTCAGCCTCCAGAGTAGCCCGGACTACAGGGGCCCGCCACCTCGCCCGGCTCGTTTTTTGTATTTTTTGTAGAGACGGCGTTTCACCGCATTAGCCAGGATGGTCTTGATCTCCTGACCTCGTGATCCGCCCCTCTCGGCCTCCCAGAGTGCTGGGATTACAGGCTTGAGCCACCGCGCCCAGCCTCTAACCCATTTCTCTCTGCCGAGTTCCAAATCAGTATTTCCAACAACCTCTAGATGTTCTCACACTTGGATGTCCTATAGGTTCCTCATAGTGTCTTCAAAAGGGAATATACTTTTTTCCTTGCTTCTTACTTGCTTCTTTTCTATCCACTATTGCAGAGAAGGATACTACCCAGTTATCCAAACCTGAAGCATGGCTCAAAGGAGAAGCCTTCCTTTGTCTTATGATCCACGTCCAGTCACCTGGTTTTCTTCCTCTTTTTTAACCAAACACCCTTAAAAGCTGACTCTCGGCCGGGCGCGGTGGCTCATGCCTGTAATCCCAGCACTCTGGGAGGCCGAGACAGATGGATCATGAGGTCAGGAGATCGAGACCATCCTGGCTAACATGGTGAAACCCCGTCTCTACTAAAAAAAATACAAAAAACTAGCCGTGCGTGGTGGCGGGCACCTGTAGTCCCAGCTACTCAGGAGGCTGAGGCGGGAGAATGGTGCAAATCCAGGAGGTGGAGCTTGCAGTGGGCTGAGATCTGGCCACTGCACTCCAGTCTGGGTGACAGAGCGAGACTCCGTCTCAAAAAAAAAAAAGCTGACTCTGGGCCAGCCGCCGGTGGCTCATGCCTGTAATCCCAGCACTCTAGGAGGCTGCGGCGGGCGGATCACCAGAGGTCGGGGGTTCCAGACCAGCCTGAGCAACATGGAGAAACCCCGTCTCTACTAAAAATACAAAAGTAACCAGGCATGGTGGCGCATGCCTGTAATCCCAGCTACTTGGGAGGCTGAGGCAGGAGAATCACGTGAACTCAGGAGGCAGAGGTTGCGGTGAGCTGAGATCATGCCATCGCACTCCAGCCTGAGCAACAAGAGCAAAACTC